TTACATTCTTAATATTCCTAGTTATAAAGTATTCCTTTATTTCTATGAATATAGTCAATGAAGCTATTGTCTCTATAATATAGTTGTTAATTTTGGAAAATATTTTGTTCCAAATTCTCTTACAGTCTATAATGAAAAAGATCTCTGTCTCCTTTTATGAGTTTGAAGTCAGGGCTCCTTGCCAGGAACACAAAATAGAATGCCACTGACCTTAACAGCATGCAGGCCATTATTTGAGGAGGAAGATAAAAGGATAGAAGCCCAGTTGAAGGAAAAAGTGCTAAATATCATTCTACATAATAATGACAATTCAGATCTGATTTTACAACTTACCAAGTCTAAGTTGAGCAACGGTCGCCTGCTGAAGAATAAATTTAGTAATGTGCTATTCGAAGCAAATAATGGTTGGTCTATCCAGCGATTCCTTCTGAAATTCCAACAAAATTCATCAGTTTTTTTTATGCTGTGAAGAATGTCTGACAGTTTCTTCTGTGAAGCAGGAACCCTGTTTACCAATCACTTTCTGAGGGTCCTGCATGTCCAGTTCATACACTTTACTGTCATGCAGTCCAGGCAAGAGCAGTTTCTTGTCACCTTGAAGGCAAATTCCATAATGAGCTTTTCCAATGCCCATCAACCTCTCTGAAGCAATTGGTGCTGCCAGAAGGAGACCTGTCTCACTGTCAAAAGAGCCTAAGTTCTTAAACCCTTTAAAGTGCCATATTCTGTAGGTTTTTAAAGTGTTGAAGATTATTTATCTCACTAAAATACATCTCTGTATGTCTAGAAACCTAACTAACATGACTACAAATTTGACTATTTTAAATGACTATTTATTTATCTGTAATTTCTAACTATACATTACCTTTCTAAATGAGCTGTATAAACATAGAGTAGGAATATACGTATAACAAAATTGACCTTAAATTTGTATTAATAAACCAAAATCCATACAAATGCAAAGTATTCATTTTATCATATCCCTCCTTTTATTAGAAAGAGATTTACTATGACCATTAACCATTTATAATCAACTCCTTTTAAATGAAAACCAAAATTTAGTAACCGTCATTTTGGGAAATTGGCGCTTAGTTTTCTCCAAACCTCTTCCTGCTTTTTGTTTGAAGCATTTTTAGGGTTTGAGGAGATCTTTCGGAGAGGTCTTGTTCCATCAAAGCACATTAGTCTGGAAGGAATTTACAGATTCTCATCTTCTGTGGAAACAAAAGTAGAACCTCTTTTCCAAAGCAACATATCTTAAAACTCAAATTTTTAAGTCAGAATATCTTTCAAATATATATTTGTTTAGCTTAGCAGCTCATAAAATGAAATGTTGCTCTGTAGTTAGTTCATTTATAGTAAAAATCAAAGAAAACACAATAATATACACAATCCATACTTTTCGTGTGTTTTCCATTTTTATGTGGATTTTTTATGTTACTTTTACTGTCTCTTTAAAGACTTTATTTTTTATTATTTTTTATTATTATTAAAATTTTTCACCTCCTCCCAGTTCCCTTCCCCTCTCCCTTATCCCGCTTCCCCCTCCCTTGCCAGTCCAAAGAGCAGTCAGGGTTCCCATTTTTTAAAAACTATTTTTTTTCTGTAGCTGCTTATACCCATTTTCTTCTTTTTAAAGCCTACATAAATTTTTAAAAACACACTATGACCCATTTAGAGGCTTATTTCTGTCTGAATTTGTCTTTATTGTGTATCTGTAATCCTTTTTTGATCACTGTTGTGAGCTGTTAAGCAGGCATGACTAGGACCATAGCAACCACTTTGGCTCTTGGTTCCACCCTGCTTGGCTTTCCAACATGGCAAATGTCTGTTTACCACTAACTCTGGGTGTCATGTCTACCACCCCAACTCTGGGAAGCAGTTGGCCCACTCAGCTACTAAGCAACTTGTAGCACGCTGCCCACAAACCGTATTCAAGTGTCCTGTAACAGGACGTCCTGAACAATTCACAGCCACTTGTGCCACCATCATGAGTCAGGAAACTGTTTTTTAAAGAAGTCGTGCAGTACAGTTTTTGTTGCTAATGCTGAGTCACCACCAGCAAAAAGAGCCTATCTGAAAATGTGCAGCTACAAAGAAACTCCAATTGAGTCCAATTTTTGCAGGTCTAGAAGCTCTTTTTTTTTTAAGTTTTATTAGGCTTTATGTGGATATTCTTGCCAATGTTTGGGTGCCATTTGTACGTTGAGACTGTAATTCATTTCCTGACTAATATAGTTCACACATAAACTATATTAATTACAGCACTGTTCAGCCAACAGTTCAGGCATACTTCTAACTACCTCTTATATTGTAAATTAACAATTTCTATTAATCTGTATATCACCATGAGGCTGTGACTTACTAGAAAAGTTCTAGTGTCTTTCTCCTTCAGCAGCTACATGGTGTCTGCTTGACTCTACGTTCTTTCTCCCTGCATTCAGTTTAGTTTTTTCACCTACTTATATTCTGCCCTGCCATAGGCCAAAGCAGCTTCTTTATTAACCAATGGTAATAAAAACATATTCATAGTATACAGAGGAGAATCACACATCAACATTGTACATTTAGAAGTAGTATAAGTAAAATTAAAATTATTATTAAAATAGATGGTACAGATAATAAAATAGATGGTATAAATTGAGTTGTTATTTAAGACCATTCCAAATTATGGTGAAAAAGCAACATGAAACCAGGTGTGTATGCGATGTATCTGTGGGTTTATTTTTTTGTAATGACAATGACCACATACATACAAATGTTAAAAATGGTAAAGACAAAGAAACAATGTCAGTTACAACAACCTTTACAAAACAGCTAGGCATGATAAAAAGAAGCAGAGAGGGACTTGAGAAGTAACTAGTAGTTATGAAAGGCAGAGGTGATACGGAAAATCTTCCCAGAATATAGGTGAAAGACACAAAACCCCAAAATATCTGATGAAACAATCTTAGATTTGGAAATATCTTTAGATGTGTCAAAAAAGTCTTACAAGAAGCAGTAATAGAAAACAGTTGAAAAAAAGAATTGATCACATGTGGATTCAACTAGAAAAACCATTAAATGTTTAAGGAAAGACATAAACACAAGAAGTTGAATACTTTGAGAACTGGATTATCAGAGATAGTAAGAGGAGAAAGATCAAACACCCAATTGTCAATAATAAAATCACTAACCTGACCACTGACTTCCAATTACTCTATTATTTCAAATGTAGAAAAAATGCAAATGTATCAAATACATAAGGATGAGCTGAGTTTATGAACTACCGACTGCATCAAAACACCCCTGTAGAAAATATTTGCACAATACATACCAATTTTCTGTTTTTTAATAATTCGCAAGCAATTTAAACCTTGGAATGTTTTCCAAGTCCTCTGCAGTCAAAGTTGATAATGTTCATATAGTCTTCAACAATACTAAGATTAAGGTTGATGAGGTGATGATTGACATATCTAAATTTGTATAGAAGTATTAACATACCAACGCAGTTCCCTGACTTTCAATTTTCACCTTATTTCTCATGTATTACACTAGACTACAGTTAGAGGAGATTTGGCTTCAAAGACAAAACTAACGAATCTGGAATTGTAGAACAATACACTCTGGGCTGCTGAGTACACGCTCCATGAACAAAGACTACTCTGTCCTGTAGATATAAGCTGCCTTTTGTCACACACTGCCAGAAAAGAAAGAACAGCTGATATTGTCCTCAAAAATTCTGTTCCAGTTGCAGAGTGGTTCCTTTATCAGCTGGGCAACTGCATTGACCATTCCAGACTTTCTTCTTTGACTCGCTGATAGAGACATCACTAAACCTACGTTTAATCCCAGATTAGTTGAAATGAGGTCTAGATCACTAAAAACAAATAAGAATAGAAACCAGGAAATTTTCCTCAGAACCACAAGATTGCACAATTATAATTCTTTTAATATGGGGTAAACTTAATTTTGGTGCTTTCCATGCATGTTTATTACATGTATCTCCAGGTATTTATCTATGTGCAATAGGAAAATCCTGGTCCAGTGATGTGATTTAGCAGGTAGAAGCATTTTTCACTCAAGCTGTGGAACCTAAGTTTCTTCCCAGAACTCACAGTGGAAAGACGGATATCTTGTAGTCTTAAAGGTGAACATATGTATCACATTCATACATATACCATACTTACATGCATGTGCACATACACACACTCACAGACATGCAAAAGCACATGTATACATACAGTATACACAAAACACACACATCACACACACTCACACAACCTCCATACACACTCACACACATGCACACATTCACACACACTCTCACACACAATATACATACACCTTACAAACCCTCAAACATACAATGGTAATAATGAAACTTTTTTTTAAAAAAAAAACAAAGTACAGATCACTAGAATTGGCTCATGATTTAAAACAGTCTGATCGTTTCTCGGATACTCTCAGAAGCTATTTTTGTTATCTCTCTTCTGTGACTTAGTCATAAATCTTGTACACATATGCATACAATGTTGTATTAAAAATTACTTGTTGCAGCTTCTTTCTCTCTAGTCATTCTATGTCCATGTCTCTGAACTGAGACTGTTGTTTTTTTTATGGAATCCCTATTTCTAGTCCTTGTTTAGTGTTGGGATTGAGATATAAAGGTTCTCACAGGAGCTCCTGTTACAAGGGTGTGGTTGACGCTGAGTTCTTTGAAAGACTTTGAATTCTCAAGGCTGCAATCCAACAGATGGATTAATTCCTTGATGGACTCACAAGCTGAAGATGTAATGAAGAGGAATGTAAAGAAACCAGCAGGTGAAGCCCATCTGTAGTAAGGAGGCTACATCTTCACTCCTCTTTCTCGTTGGTTCCTGCTGCAGGGAGGTGAGCTTCTCTGCTCCATCACCATGGTGTTCTGCTTCACCACAACCTAGAAATACGCACATTTACCAACTGTGGCCTGAAAGTTTTGAAGTCACAAGCCACGAGTGAATCTTTCTTTCTTTACCTAGGTACTTGTTGTTGCAACAACAGCAAAAATAATCTATTACACTTTCAGTGTTGACGATGCCACACATGGAATCAAAACCTGAACTTAATGACTCTCACTTTGCTTTATGATAAAATGTAAGTATATATGGCTATATTTTAGATTTTAGGATGTCTCAATCTATGTCAATTATATTGTTCCATTGCAAGCACTTCCCCTTAAAAGGAACAGAAAACACAATCAATTTGAAAAAAAAAAATCTACACCAGCTCGTTTGAAACTTAAAACTTTATGAACAGGAAGTGTTCAGGAATGTCTTGGAATTCTAACTCCACTGCTAAATGGTTCCCTTCTTGACAACAGATTGTTTTCTCCCATGCTGGTAAGAAGGCTGTCACAGTTGTACATGTCACCTACAGCACCTCATCCCCTGGCGTGATGGTGGGAGCTGAGGAAGGGAAGAAATGCAGCTAGGGTCCTGTACGAAAGCAGGGCAAATGCCCTGCCAGCAACTAGGTAAGAGAGAGAATTCTTAGTCCAGCATTATAAGAAAGTGACTACTGTTTTGATTCACACTTTTTCACTCTCTGAAGTGACTATATTGAAACTTTCAACTCCTTTTGAAATAGAGAAAAATTGCAATCTATAGTGTTAAAATATTTTGGTACAAGCTGATTCTTTTAATTTTATGTGCAAAATGTTCACAAATTTTTACAACTTTGTAAGGCCAGCAATCAACAACGTACATCCAATCAATAAAAAAATTGAATGAATAAATCCAATAAATTTGGCTTTTAAATTCTAAACTTGTATTTAGTATTTACATTGTCTATTTAATTGACTGCAGAACCAAAAGATTATCTAACCTTCCACAAGGAAAGTTCGGGAGGCTTAAAACATTTTGAGTTAACCACTTTCTGTAGATGTTCTTTAATTCATGTTAAGACATTTTGAGTTAATCACTTTCTGTAGATGTTCTTTAATTCATGTTTTAAATGTTCTGCCATATCTTTGTATACCACAACATACACAATTATTAAGTGATATTATTTGCACACTCATAAAAACAGATGAGATTAATGATTTATGTAATATCTATTATTCCAGTTTTGATGAGTTCTGTTATTTAATAGCTTAAGATTTAGGGAAATAACAAGATTGGACGTTACAATTTACCACTCTTAAACATTTCCATCTGGGTCTCCTTAAAAATCAAACCTTCTCATATTAGTGTACACTAGTACACGTTTAATTATTAAACATCTTCCAGAAAAATATTACTTGAATAAAAGGAATTACCTACACTTATACTTATATCTTATTCACTAGTAAAAGAACATGTTGAAAATAAGGTTTTGAGAAATAAGAAACTGAAGGCACAGTTTTCTGTGAGTAATTCCTGACGAGTTAGGTCATATTTGGCTTAGATCCACTGGAGAGACTGTTTCTGGAAATGTACTCTCTGCTTATGATTTTTATGGCAAGTTCTTAAGGTATAGAATGTGTTCCATATTACTTATGATCATAGTGTGCCAGACTAATGAGTTAAAAACAGTTAATGTGGGAAGTCAAAAAAGAAAAAAGATCATTGCCAAGTTGGAAGAGAAAGTACTCAGACATGCCTCCTCAGCATGGAACAGACATTCATCATGTACTCTCTGTGTATGCAGGATCAGGACAGTGTGGATACACATAATTCACAGCAGATGTTAATGTAAAAATGCATTTTTATTTTTACAAAATTCTCATATTTAAATAGCTTGATAGCTGCACGTTCTATGGCCCAGTTATGTGGACTTTCAGCGACAGTGTCTTATTTTTGAGTTTTTGGAAGGTTAATTAGAGCACTGACAATCATCTATAATATTTGGTGGTCTTTGGGAACTCACTGGCCCAAAAAACCAAAAGATGTAACTCATTTGGTACTGGGTTGTAGTCTTTCCTTTTCTGAGCACCATTAATGCCATGAAGTTTGTTGTCAACTAGATTTGGGGGCTTTAGTTTTGATTAATAGAACTTTAGAAATATGAATTGAGGCTATTCCCCACTTTCTATTCTATCTGGTTCAGAGTAGCTGGATTTATGTTCAGGTCTTTGATTTATCTGTACTTGAGTTTTGTGCAGGGTGACTGATAAGTATCTATTTTCATTTTTTATATACTAACATCCAATTATGCCAGCACCATTTGTTGAAGATTCTTTCTTTTCTCCATCGTATAGTTTTGGGATTTTTGTCAAAAGTCAAGTGTCCACAGGTGTATGGAGTTTTGTCTGGGTCTCTGATTCAATCCCATTGATAAATATGTCTGTTTTTATGCCAGTACCATGCTGTATAGCTCTATAGTAGAGCTTGAGATCAGGGATGGTGATAGCTCCAGAAGTTCTTGCATTGTACAGGGTTGTTTTAACTATCCTGGGTTTTTGTTTTTCCATATATAGCTTAGTATTGTTCTTTTAAGGCCTATGAAGAATAATGTTGGAATTTTGATGGGGATTGTGTTCAATCTATAAATTGCTTTGGCAAGATGGCCATTTAAACTATGTTAATCCCATTGAACCCTGAGCACGCAAAATCTTTCCATCTTCTGATATCTTCTCCAATTTCTTTTGTCATCAACAATTAAGAAATGGGACCTTATGAAATTGAAAAGTTTCTCTAATGCAACAGACACTACCAATACAACAAGATGGCAGCCTACACACTGAGAAAAATTGCTACCAACCTCACATCTGACAGATGACTAATCTCCAAACTATATAAAGAACTCAGGAAGCTAGGCATCATAATAACCAAATAATCCAATTTAAAAATGGAGTACAGGCCTAAACAGAGAATTTTCAACATAAAAAAATCTCAAATGAATGAGAAAAACTTAAAGAAATGTTCATCATCCTTAGGCATCAGAAAAATGAAAATCAAAACAACTCTGAGAGCCAATCTTACACCTGCCATAATGGCTAACACTAGAAACACAAATGACAGCTTATCTGGAAAAGATGTAGAACAAGGAAAGCCCTTCTCCATTGCTGGTGGGAGTGCAAACTTGTACAGTCAATATGGAAATCAATATGGTTATTTCTCAGGAAATTGGGGATCAATCTACCTCAAGATCCAGTGCTACCACTCTTGGGCATATATACCCAAAGGATGCTCAATCATACCATAAGGATACTTGCTCAACTATATTCATAGAAGATTTATTTGTAATAACCAGAACCTGGAAACAAGATAGATGCCCCTCAACTGAAGAATGGATAAAGAAAAGGCGGTGCTTTTATACAATAGAGTATTAATAAGCTGTTAAAAAAACAATGACACCATCAAGTTTGAAAGCAAATAGAACTAGAAAAAAAAAATCATCCTGAGTGAGGTAACCCAAACTCAGAAAGACAAACATGTTGTACACTTACCCATGATTGTATATTAACTGTAAAGGATAATCATGTTATAATCCACAGATCTAGAGAGGCTAGATAGCAAGGAGGACTCAAGTGGAGGGATGCCTGGATAATCCTAGGAAGGGGAAACAGAAGACATTTCTTAGGTGAACTGGGAGTTGGTGGGCATGAAAACTTGAGGGATTGAGTTGGGAGTCTATGGAGGGGAGAGTGCTGAAAGAGATGATTGGAAATGGGGTACATTTCGGGGTCAGGTAGAAACAAAACTCTCAGGAGTCTACAAGGCTAGCCCCGATAAGACTTCTGGGAGCAGTGTATGCATAGCCTGAACCCTATGATCAGACTGGAGACTATGCAAGTTTTCATCTGTGTCCTCCATCCAGTGACTGATGAAGGCAGATTCAGAGACTCATGGTCAGACATTGGACTGAGCTTGGAGAATCCTGTCGAGGAGAGGGAAGAGGGATTGTAGGAGCCAAGGTGAGGGTGGAGGGTAAGGTGCAGGAGTGGGGAGGGTACCTGATAGTGGTGGTGGTGGTGGTGGTGGTGGTAGTGTGTGTGTGTGTGAGGGACTTCTCAGTAAAACCCAAAGAAATAGCTAGTCTGGCTCATGGGAGCTCATAGAATTTAAACCAACAACAGGGAACCTGCAAGGGATCAATCTATTCCTTCTGGATGTTTGTGACAGTTGTGTAACTTGGTCCACATGTAAAACTCATGGCAACAGAAGTAGGGGCAGTTCCTGGTGCTTTTATAGGGCTGGCTCTTGGGAATCGGTTCCTTTAGCTTGATTGCTTCTCCCAGACTGAATAGAGGAGGAGGGACTTGCTTGGTCTTATGGCAGCTTGATATGCCATGTCTTGTTGATGTCCATGGGAAGCCTGCCCTTTTCTAAGTGGATGGAAGAGAGGTGGATTTAGGATGATGATGGAGGGAAGTAGGGAGAGGAGTGAGAAGAGAGGAAGTGAGGAGGTTACTATCTGGATGTAAAATAAATAAATTAAATT